TTTAATGTTGCCAAATACTAGTGTACTGTGTCCCCAAATAAGCAGCATACATACCATCAGCCAGAGTTTAATTTTTATTTAGGATTCTCCTTTTTCTTCTGAGTTTTGTTTTTGTTTATTTTTTTATTTTTTTATTTTTTTTTTTTTTGAGACAAGGTCTCATTACACAGTTCAGGCTGGCCTTGAATTCACTGCGCAGTCCAGGATGGCTTCAAACTCATGGCCTCCCAAGTGCTGGGTTTACAGGTATGCGGCACCACTGCACTTTTTCAAGTTTACTTTAACGAAAAGAACAATCTTAACTGTCATTGGATGACATCAGACAAGTGGGTAGAGGTTTGTTAGGCAAAGCCTTGAAAGTGCATTACTTCCTTCCCGTGGGTTCCCTACCTCCAGGCTTTGACTATTCTGCAACTGAATTTCATCATCATGTTTTACACATTTACCTAGATGCTTATTTCTGGTTGTTGCTGTAACTTTTTTTTTTAAATCATTTTAATAGTGCACGCTTGTGGTGCACAGAGGTATCATTCCTGCATAGTTGGCTCATGGATGCAGCACACTTGAATTCTTTCTCTCTCTTGTTTTTTTTTTTTTTTCCTTGCAGAACCAGGGATTGAATTCAGGCCCTTGTACTTGCCAGGCAAGCACTTATTCTACTGAGCTATCTCTCCAGCTCCCATTGAATTCCTTCTTTTTTCCCCTATTCCTCTCTTGGTTCTCCGCCCCTTTGAGAAAGGTCTCTCCTCCTACTTCCTATTACCCATCATTTGTTTTACCCTTTCTTTATAATTTGGGTTTCTCATGGAAGAGAAAGCATGCTGAACGAAAGCTTGTATGTATGATTTATTTCACCTCACATGATGGTCTCAAAGTGTTTCCATTTTTGTACAAATGACTGAAGTTTATCTTTTCTGTATGGCAAAATGGTACTCTACTGTATGTAAATACCATGTTTTCTTTGCCCATTCATCTGTTTGTGGACCTACAGGCTGCTTCCAGAACATAGCAAATATGAATTGTGCTGCTCTAAGCACTGAGTAGCCATATGGCACAGCAATAGGATGCCTTCAACTCTTTGGGGAAGATATTTAGAAATGAAATGGCTGCGTAAAATGGAATTTCTATTCTTCGTTTTTCGAGGGATCTCCTCAGTGATTTCCATGATGCTTGCAGCGGCTTACATCCTCAACAGCAATGGAGAAAGCCATCTGTCCCTCTGTGCCTCGCCAACACTTGTTATTGGTTGATTTCTTGAAGATGAGCATTCTTTCGGAGGTAAGATGAAATCTGTGTTGTTTTTTTCTTTTTTTTGTTTTGTTTTTTAATTTTTTTTAATATTTTTTTTTAATTTTTATTTAT